CACAGTAATGCCAATAGTATGCTTGTATGCTAGTGCTATCTTGGATAGGCAAAATGCAAGTCAACCTGCTTTTGACCATCCTCTACCATGACTCGACAAAACTCTTCTTGATCTAATCAATGAGCTCCTGATGACTCTGCAGTTATAGCCACTCCTAATTCCTTTAATGATATTAGAGAGTGGCAAATAAAGATAAACTGATGTGAAAATATTCATATATCTTCAGTGTAGTTATTTTTACATGAAGACCATTCCAACACTATTGGTAACTAATGATATCAATTATACTTGCATACTAGGGTCACACTAGCAAAGAAATGACAAATGAGAATGTAGAATAGTACTTTTTTTTTTTTTTTTACTCTGTTCTTCTTCATCCTCATCTGCTTTTTTAAAATTTTGGGCCAAAATGGATTGAACAAATCATGAACACACTTACAGGAAAAACAAAGGAAGAGGAGAACTTGAAGGAGAAATGGTTGAAGCAAAATGAAGAGCGAACCCATGAATCTGAAATGGGAGAGAGCCAGTCCGTGCTTGAGCCTGTGAAATCAGACACTGCAGATGATGATGAGTTGAAGATGAGTATCAAGATATTCCGCCTGTATCCCGTCAAGAAACAGAAGAATGCACAGGCTTCTGAAGCCAAGGAGGATGTTATGGGGGTAGAGACACAGATTACACTTGAGGAAAATGGTGAGTTCCTTAAAAAAATGAGTAAGTATAAATGATGTGTGTGAAAATATTTAGAAGTTAAATGAGAGATGTGATGATCCTTGGTAGTGATTGTTTCACCAGATGATTAAAGATGACACAGGAAATAACTCCTTTATTATAGGGTCCAACTTGTGAACAATTCACTTGTAAACATTACATACAAAATTAATGATAATCCCTCTATCAATCTGTAGGGTAAAATCTGTAAACTTTTCAGATATGCAGGGAAAACAATAAGAACTATATAAATGATAAAACCCTCTTTTACATTGCCACATTGGTTGATGCCCTTACAACTAGTGATTATTGAATAAGCAAAATATATATATGCCTTGCATGATGACAATTATATAAAGACAATTAGTGCAATATAAGAAATACAAAACATATAAGCTTACACATATAATACGAATCATTTATAACAAAACGACAAGTATGTCACTCACGCAGTATCTCCCCTATTCTTATAATGCAAGACCATCAAACACAAACATCAGTGAACTGGTGAACTGCATCTCAGTTAAGTCAGATTCATAACATCCGTAGGTCCAAAATCACAATAGCACTGGAATGCAATAACTACATTATTGATATAAAGTCAGGATACTTCACAAAAGCCCATATACCCTGAGTAACAGGCTTTATGATCAGCCCTAATAACATTAACCACAAAATATTCATTGCCATTTTCACTCCATACAAGTGTTTACATTTAAAAGTACAGTATTCAAGACAGGTAGTAATTACAAAACATAACCCACAGTTATAATGCTATTAGCACAATGCTATGATGGAAGTGTTTTCTGAAAACCAGTGAGTACATAGGCACATTCAACAACATTTACACAAACAATTAATGCACATCATTGCCACCTCTCAACACTTGGCTAGAGGAGGATGCTTCATCTACACTCAAACAAATTATAAAGATTTGCAACAGAACATGAAAATATAAAAGTTGACCTATATATATCACCTTTATAACTATTTCCCAAATAATGATTTCACCTTTATACACAAAAGAAAAAGAAAAAAAGAATAGTGTATATATATATATACATATATATATATATATATATATATATATATATATATATATATATATATATATATATATATATATATATATATATATTTATATATTATATATATACAGGGCCGCCATCAGGCGGCCAGGGCCCAGGGGCAAAGAGTAGGGCAGACCCTGAGGGCCACATCCTTTTTAGGTGGGAAACACTTTTTCCAAATAGAAAATGACCATTTTTCCCTTAAACTTTTATGTTAATATAAACTGTATGTTACTCACACTTACAATCAAGAACTTGTAATCAAGAATATGTTACTGATATCACATAACTTCAAAAATGTCGCTAGTTTAGCAGAAGATTGAGGACATTTTTTGAACCATTTCCTTATTTTGATTTTATTGATAATAGCAAAGTCTTGTTAACATTAACTGCTGTAACACTGTTTTAGTATAAATACACCCTATAAATATGCTGAGTTAGTTATTCTTGGGCTCAAATAAGCGACTACTGTAAATTTTTACAGGGCCATGGGGTCGTTACCCCCCTCCCCTTGTGTGTGTGTGTGTTTATGTGTGTGTGTGTGTGTGTGTGTGTGTGTGTGTGTGTGTGTGTGTGTGTGTGTGTGTGTGTGTGTGTGTGTGTGTGTGTGTCTGTGTGTCTGTGTGTGTGTGTATATGTGTATATATATATATATATATATATATATATATATATATATATATATATATATTATATATATATATATAAACATGTAG